TGACTTCATTTGTAGATCATCCTGATTATATTAAAGATGTTTCTCTCCTGTAAAACAAAACAATTTGACCAAAATTTGTCTTCAGAAATACACGAGTTTTAAATGTTTGATTATTGCTGATCTTTTTTAGACGGTGACTGCAGGCAGGCATGGCAGCAGATCCAAGGAAACCATTTTCAGCATCAGCAAGGCCATCATGCAGAATCCCAATGCAATCATCCTCTGTATTCAGGGTGAGCAAATACATACTATCCGCAATCACAGAAAATCACAAAGGCAGCATTTGACATTGTGAGCATGGAGATGGACCTTCAGAACATAGACAAACAGACCTGTCTCCTTTTGTGCCATTGTTGTGTTCTCCAAATCTCAAACTTTCATATTTTTTACTCTTGTTTTTTTACTCATTATTCTGTAAACTATACTTAAATCTTCTGTGACTTTTGTTGATTCCCTCCAGATGGCAGTGTGGATGCAGAGCGCAGCATTGTAACAGACTTGGTTAGCCAGATGGACCCCCAGGGGAAGAGAACCATCTTTGTCCTGACTAAGGTGGACTTGGCAGAGAAGAACCTGGCCAGCCCGAGCAGAGTAAGACAACTGAACCTTTTCAAAAAGCTAATACTACAAAAATTACGCCTTTACAGTTAATGCCTTGACACTTCTTGACTTAATCCATCACAAATTGCAATGACCAAAGCATCAAACCCTCTACAGGCTCTTTGTGCACAGCCATAAAAAAAAAGACAATAATGCCACGAGTGAAATGTGTGTCTATGAGTCGACATATAATCGTAAAATCTGAAAATGAAATCTTGTAGGAATCAATCCTAATCATTAACATCCCTAATGAAGTTGCATCAAGATGTAAAAAATGGTGAGAAAGCCAGCCTCAAACTAGATATGAAACCAGTTAAAGCCACAGATTGTTCCTACCATAGGATAAAGTGTCAGGCTACATGCAGCAGATCCACAAGAGGGAGCTGCTCACATCTGTTATAATGTCAGGCTTTAGATAGATAGATAGATAGATAGATAGATAGATAGATAGATAAATTCAAAGCATCCAGTAGCAGGTTACAAAGACGTACATGACATGAAACATTTGTTACAAATTAATCACAAAACCGACGCCCCCCCCTCCCATACATATATATTAATCCGAATTTTTTTTTAAAGAATACCCCTAGACGAATTAAACTTAGACTGTGCAACTAAAAATAGACTTACACAAGAAATGTACATAACCCGTGCAGGGATAAAAATATATGTGCAATTTAAACAAGAACCTATAAACAGTTGAGGAAAAAATCTGTAATTAGACCTGAATATAAAAAAAAAAAAAAGTTTTGACCTTCTGAAGTTTAGCAAGAATCACTGTGGCTGATTTATTTTTCTTCAATTCTCATGACATTTATGGTCAGTGACGATCTGACGTGAGGAAAGGGAGTTGGTGAAATAGTAGAATCAGCTCTTTGCACTGAAATTGTCTCACAGTTCATGCTTGTAAAGTGTAGTGTTCTGTTTCTGTTATTTTGATGTTCCAACCACAATTACATATCGTCTGTTCTGTGTTTGAGTAATCCTACTCTCAATGTAAAGGAGCAATTCCAGGCTTGTTGTGTTCGTAGGTCAAAGTGAGCTTATTCATTTAGTGCAACAAAGTGATGTACAGTAAAATTACTGTCTGTGACTTGCAAAGCTCGCTCATGCTCTGCTGAAATAAATGGAGTGCACACAGATTTTTCCTGCATTAAATCCTGAGTCTGACTCTGAGGTGGACTGGTGTAACTTTGTATAATCATCTGTATTTTTTCTCTTTTTAGATCCAGCAAATAGTGGAAGGCAAGCTGTTTCCCATGAAGGCCCTGGGTTACTTTGCTGTAGTGACAGGAAGAGGTATTATGATGCAACATTTAATTTCACATGATTTAATTAGAACTCAGGTCATGATTGATCATTTCTTATGTCAGTTACTTCGATTTTAAACACAGTTGGAAAAGCCAAGAATCTGTAGCTGCCTGGTGTTTTAAAATCAATCATTAACCAAATTGTCCTTGACTCACATCTTGTTCTGGGCAACTTCTGCAGGTAGCAGCAGTGAAAGCATAGACTCCATTAAAGACTATGAGGAAGACTTCTTCCAGAACTCCAGATTACTAAGGCAAGTGACACCACATCCCTCCACATTTAATTCCTTTTGTTAAATAAATACTCTAAAGTTGACATTGAATGTGTCTCTGTAAAAAGGGACGGCATGCTTAAAGCCCACCAGGTGACCACAAAGAACTTGAGTTTGGCTGTCTCTGACTGCTTCTGGAAGATGGTGAGGGAGTCTGTTGAGCAGCAGGCGGATGTCTTCAAAGGTATGAATACACTAGCAGGACTAACTAACCTTAATCCAATGAATGGTTGAGTGATTCATATGTCTTGTTATTGTTTTCCTTTGAATTTCCTTGAATTGTTATAGCAAACATCTTTTACAGTCCCAGGCATGTTTTAATAGTGTAAATGGACATGGTGAGTTTTTATTCATTAACTGTACAGGGATCAGATGCTAATCCTCTTCATCTTCTGATGCCCCTACCTCCCTGTACTGGCTCTACTCAGCCCACCCTACCTCACTTTTTTACTATCCGGCCTTCCAACTGCAATTAGTCTAGACAGTCACAAGCCTGTCGCTAACAGTACAGGAGATTTATGGCTTTGAAACTGCAGTTCCCACAGGCCCATTGTGTTGAGTATCGATCCATATCCCATCAAATCGCATACAGCCGGCCTCCGTCCTCCATGCTTGGCGCCGATGTGGCCCCACAAACCAGCAATTAGCCTAATCCCCACTGTGGATAGGGAGCTGTGGAAAGGGACAGCAGGCTGAGTGTGTGTGCGTGTGTGTGCGTGTGCGTGTGTGTGCGTGTGTGTGTGCGTGTGTGTGTCTGTCTCACTGTATCCCTCTCTGTGTGCATATATGAGAATGAAAACTGGCTTTTGATATAGATTGGGATGTTGGCACCATCCCCTCTTCTCCCAAGGGACTAGTTAGGACAGTGAGTGTGTCCTCACCCACTTTTATTAAAGGATAGGCTCCATTAGCCGTCTGAAAGCTGACTTTATATCATACCAAGTCAATAAAAAGAAGGTTCTGGAACCTGTTTGTTCGTTGCCTGTTGATTACGGAGAATTATTGTTGGATGGAGTATAGCATCAAACATTAATAAGAAATGGAAACATGCAAGATATGAGGATCATCCATACATGTGAACGAGCATTTAATTCAGTACATCTACAGATACTGTATGTATTTATTTTAAACATTGTCACTGTCCCTTCTCTCTCCAGCATCTCGCTTCAATCTGGAGACAGAATGGAAGAACAACTACCCTCGACTGAGAGAGCTGGACAGGGTGAGGATTGAGAATACATTGGAAAATTAAGAATTTGTATCAAATTAAAAACAAGACCTCGTAATACAACAGACTGGGAGGAAATCGTCTGTTTTCTTTTTTTTTCTTTTTTTACGATTTTGTCTTTTTGCAGAATGAACTCTATGAAAAGGCCAAAAATGAAATATTGGATGAAGTAATCAGTTTGAGTCAAGTGACCCCCTTACACTGGTAAGTCAATACTGAGTATCTACTTTAGGCTGAGTTTGTGTCCATTTTGGTGCCCCCCTGTGGACAAAGTAGTATGGGTTGATTTTGTCCTGTAAAGGTTTAAGTAGTTTATTTTTTTTTTTTGACAAAAGTGTCCTGCTATCTTGTAAAAGTCTAATTTATCACTGATTCAAAATTATTTATCTGAGGGGTTTGATTCAAAACGGGCAAGTCAGGTCTTTTTAGCGGCCACGGTATCAAGAGCTGAGGGGATCAGATCGTTGAACCAGTTTACAAAGTCATTAACAGAGGAAAAAATTGGAAATGTAGAAGACATCTAAACATGGCAGCAAAATGAGGCATCAGTATTCATTTCATTCTGTTTCATAAGGAGCTAAAAACACCTCACAGGAGCTTTAAGGCTTTAAAAATAAAAGCTTTAATCAAGGCGAAATGTATTTTATGTTAATAAATTATTGGTTAAAATAAGAAGAATGCTCAAAAATGCAGGATTTTCTTTTTTAACATTAACATGGAATATTTATATTAATTTAAATACCATTAGAAGCAGAAATGTGTTTAACTGTGGTTTTACATTGTTTGACCTTTAAGGGATTCAAGTGCCAAATCATCATTTTACTCTTACTAGTCTAAAATGTTTAACTCACTATGTAGATTTTTGTTCTTAATTAGGTGGCCCATTATAAGCACTGAACTTTGAAACATTTTCGACCTGGTCTTAAATCAATGAGTTCATGTATTTTTACTAAGGCTCTCAACGAGGTATGAGGGAAAGCTAGTTTAAAGCAAACTGTAGGTTTGTCTTTGTGTGTATTTATCTGTGCAGGAGTGCATAGTTCTGCCTCTCCCCCAAAGAGGAAAACCTTGCTAAATGAGATGTATGCATCGTTTTGTGGTCGTCCCAAGTGTGCGTGCCATCACTTCTGCTTGATCAATACTCTGATGAATGGCCCATGGATGGGAACAGGGGTGGCCCTGTTAGCCAGCCTGCAGCCAGCAAGCGCTATTGAAGATGGTGCTTATTGACAGTGAGGAGAGCTAGCCTGAACAAAAGGGAAGCCTAATGAAATATGAGCGTGCGTTTATGATAAATGAGAGGAGCTGAACACTGGCTTCATCTAACAGGGACTTGGGGAGGGTTTTTTTTTTTTTTTCATTGCCACACTTCTATAGAGGGATTTGGCGGGAGTGTGCAGGCTGGTAGCTGCTAACAGGGTGATGCTTGAGATGTGTTGGAATGTACAGTCCTACTCGTACTGCAATCACAGTGGCAGTAATCACAAAATTAAACCAGCACAAGGAAGGTTCTTCCCTCAATTTTTTTCCCTAAACCTTGTTCCTTCAAGAATTAAGCTGAATATCTTATATCGACTCTTTTGCCACCCCTTGCCCGTTAGATCCATCCCAAATTGAAATATAGAAATAATGGGTAAAGTATTGTCAGAGAACTTCTGTCTCTACCTGACTGAATACAGACAACCAAAATCACAGCAGCTAGAGTTGCCTTTTTTAAAATGTTGTCTTTCCTCGAGTCACTGGAAGCTGACTTGACTTTTGCTTCGACCCTTCCAGGGAGTCCATCCTGCAAAAGAAGCTGTGGGAGCGTGTTTCCACCCATGTGATTGAAAATATATACCTACCTGCTGCCCAAACAATGGACTCTGGTACCTTCAACACCACAGTAGACATCAAGCTCAAGCAGTGGACGGACAAGCAGCTTCCACACAAAGCACTAGAGGTAAAGCAAACGGGCAGTCGTTATTCAGCTGGTTTTTAAATCTGCTTCTTAAAGGGAATATGTTAAAATAAGATATCAATATTCAGAGATGATGGTAAGTTGAGGATATTACTAAAACTGACAGTAGAGGGTTGATTTAAATTGTAATGTTCTCCTGGTTTGATGGTCTGTTCTAAGACTGCAGAAATTAAAGCTCAATCAGGCAGTGGTGTTATGGTAACATGAGCCTTTTCTTTCCCTGCTATACTTTGCCTGCCTTTAGGTTGCCTGGGAGACACTGCAGGAAGAGTTTGCCCGCTTCATGGCTGAATACAGAGGCAAAGACCAAGACGACATTTTTGACAAGCTGAAGGAGGCTGTGAAGGACGAGAGTATCAAGAGGCACAAATGGAACGAGAGGGCCATGGACAGCCTGGTAAACACACAGTAAATCCTTTCATTCTAGATGAGGGTTGAAGGTTGTGGAGGGCATGAATACTATTTGATCTCACAGGTCTTGACAAATGCAGGGTTTCATTATTATTTTAAATGTTTGTCAAGAGAGCCCACTCGCTAACATGGGTGCATTTTTCTTTTGGTGAGCATCTGGTACAGAACTCAATGTGTATTTTTATGACATTTAAGTTAACCAAATAATGGGGCATTATTTTGTTTTTCTGTCAGAGGGTGATCCAGCACAATGCTCTAGAGGACCGATCCATCACAGACAAGCCCCAGTGGGATGCAGCGATCAGTTTCATGGAGGAAACTCTGCAGTCCCGCCTCAAAGACAGTATGTTAGCCTCTTCTAATGTCTCATATACCAGTCCTGGACTTCCTTCCTAACCATGTGATAACATACCTGTCAAAATGTTTCAAGAGCTCTTAGTAGATTTGTCAACCGGGGCTTAAAGATGACACCATTAGTAGTGTCATGTTTTGTACTAGGAGATGTTAAAAACAGAGACCACAAGCAACGACCTTAACCATCTGACCTGCAGTTTCTGTTACGTTCCCCCCCCTTCATAATATAAGGTTAGTTTTCAATACAAGGTTAAAACAAGATACAGACACATTTATTAGAAAATTAGTTTGAAGAGGTCAAAACATGCTCTCCTTTCTCTTTATGTATTTCATCTCTTCTGTTGTCCTGTTTTGCTTTTGTCTTGTAGCTGAGTCAGTAATCAGTGATATGGTGGGACCAGACTGGAAGCAGAGGTGGCTGAACTGGAAGAATCGCACACCAGATCAGGTCAGATTTTGAAATGTCTCCAAAATTCTTTAATTGTGACTGCGTTGTTGTTGTTTTTTTTTTGAGGCATCTATTACCATAAATTAAAAAAAAAAATGCATGTATGCTTCGTAATTTTTTTAGTTCTTCAAATATACGATGCATTAAACAACCATCTACTTTAAACACAGGCTATCATCACTTTGAACTCAGCACTCACTCCCTTTTTTCCATCTTTACAGCACATTCGTAATGAAACGAAAAATGAGCTGGAGCGCTTGCTGAAGCTTCACGATGATCACACAGCCTACTTGGCCAATGATGAGGTCACCACTGTTAGGAAGAACCTGGAGGGACGAGGGGTCGAAGTCGACCCTGTGCTGGTGAGACCAAAATACCCTCAACTCAGCGTCTGAATGAGAGACTGGATAAATATACATGAAAATACTGAAAACAAAAACAATAGAAATCATATCTTAATTATTAGTTTGAGCATGAATCATCTCATGTCTTTGCTTATTTAAAACAAGAAGTCCTAATTTTTGTGTTCAGTGAAAGTCCCAACAGCTTTGCAATGTATGAGATGCATGTTCCCTCTTTGATTATGTCTACAGTCCAGGTAATGCTGAATAACAAACATCTTTCTCTCTTCAGATAAAGGACACGTGGCATCAGCTGTATCGCCGACACTTCCTGCAGAACGCGCTGTCCCACTGTAACCTCTGCAAGAGAGGTTTCTATTACTACCAGAGACACTTTGTTGACTCTGAGGTAACAAAAGAGAATCAGAAATCCTACATGTCTGACTTTTTCATATTATAAGCAGCAGAATCTAAAGGTCAGTGAATGAAAAGCTAAGTTAGATGTCTATATTTTACAGTTGGAGTGCAATGATGTGGTACTGTTTTGGAGGATCCAGAGGATGCTGGTCATCACAGCCAACACCCTCCGACAACAGCTCACTAACACTGAAGGTAAGTGTCGCGTGTCTAAATGGAAGATTCAGTCACACAAAAAAATGTCTATCATTCACAGAAAAATAAACAGAATGTAGATACTTTGGAAGCCAGAATTGAATTACATATAAAAACTCTTGGCCATTCTTTACTTTGTCCTACTCATTCAATCAGCGGTGCATCGCCCTGTCAAGATTGGATCAGTTGTCTTATTGTCATGTAGTTGGATTTAGCTGCATTGTAACGGTACTTGTATGTTTTCAACTCAAAAGCTAAGAGGTTATAGCTTGTTGTTTTTTTTTATGCCCTACTTTAAAACTTTGCTCTTTTATAAATTATTACATTTTCTTTGGAAAAAAAAGAAGGTGATCACTGTAAAGAAGCCGGCTACATAGTTCCAAGCTGTCCAAATGTGGTTATCCACACAATCGTAACTACTGGCCTTAAGCTTCATCCATAACCAGTTATCCAAGTTACATATGCCTATTGTGAGAATTAAAATACCTCTTTCAACCCTTAGAATGATTGAAATACTTGTTGATCACAACATTCATGGGGAACAAATGGGAGAAGAAATCAGATGCACTTTTGGATTGAAATTTGATTGTTATACTTGTTCCTTGATTTCTCCTCTCAGTGCGTCGGTTGGAGAAAAATGTAAAGGAAGTGCTGGATGACTTCGGGGAAGACCAGGAGAGGAAGAGTCAGCTCATTACTGGTCGCCGAGTCCAACTGGCAGAAGATCTCAGTAAGTCACTCAAACACTTTACAGCAGCAAAGTTATTCCTGTTTATGAGTTAAATAAAAACGCAAGTAATTACGTTAAGGGAAAAGTGAAAATGCTTTTTTTAGTGCTGGAAGGGATCATACACGGTATTTTGAACAACCCAAACATTTAGTCTTTATAGGACTTCTTAGAGTTGTCAGTAGGTGGCAGTAGTGCTTAACGAAATAGTGTTGACTAGTTGCTTGTAGCAGAATTCACACAGTTAAGGATCCTTAAATGGCAGATTTACTGTTTACCCATTATGAGCTCTACTGCTGCCACATTTCAAACATGGCTGTGTTGTCTTCTCAAAAGTACTCAACTGCACGTAGGCCCAAGTGTACCATGCTGCTCTGTCTAGAAAGTATAACTGGCATAACATGATAAACACACTTAACATAATCTACCTGCTCAGCCCTTATTCAATTCTATTCTATTCATTTAATTACAAATAGAAAGAATAACATTGGTGTAATCAACGGAGTCACATAGATTGCCCACATCACAGTTCTTTCTCGCCATCTTTGTCCATGAGAGATCACACATACCTTATAGTAACAGCCTCTTTTACTTAATATATCTCTCTGAACTTCCCTCTGAATTGCATGAGGGGATATAGGTAAGCATATCTCTAAGAACCAGATATTCACCACTAATGTGATTGACACACCCACTTTAAAAAAGAGACTGTTCGACTGCATCGGCTACAGGATCCGTTTGCTAACTGACAATTTAACATCAGGTTTGTTTTTTCAATCACAAAGTTTCATGGAAGTTGCATATGCCTAGTTTTGTGCATATGCAACGTGAATAAAAGCAACCCTGACCTGTACATATTGCCTTGTGTTTCTATTGGCTTCTTAATCCCGATGTACTTATGGGGAGATGATTGAGGCACAATAGTGCTGGTTGGCTGTCCCTGGCAGCAGCTTTTTCAAATTTATCACTTAAGAAAATAATTTATCCATGATCATTGGGAAACTTGTGTGCACATGTGCGTCAAAGATTCAGAATCCCAATATACAGAAATGTCTCATTTGAATTGTTTAAAAGCCTTTATGTATGTACTGTATGTGTTGTATGTACAATGGCACTATGTGGTTGCTCAATAGCTTCCCTGTGTGTATGTTTTTGAAGGCAATGAGGGTTGAGCCGTCTCCAGCTGCAGTCTTACTCAGCAGAACTCTGCTTGTGAAGAAAAGTCTGCATTTACGCAGCGGCAAGCTGGCTTTCTTCCATTTCAGAACTCCACTAGGACACTAATATAATAATAGATCCGGTCACCGTTGGCGTACACAATGTCAGCATTGTTTACACACACTAATATTCTATTTTTCTACAAAAACGAAAACACGCCTTTCTGCATTGGATTTGGCTAAGGTGATCTTTTCATGTACTTTTCATGTTCTTTATTTAACAATACATTTAAAAAGCTTAAAATTAGTGTTTAAAAACCCTGAGTTTGTATGGTAGCCATATCTCTGATTCTACCTGTCGAGGAACAGAATAAATAAGGTATGCAGTGCTTTGTCCTCTAAATCTGACAAATATCATCCAGCTGTTTCCTGCATCCGATTTTCTTGGCTTTGATAAACAGAATCGTATTGATGGGTGTTACTTCGGCTCCAAAATTAACCTGGAATATTGTTAACTTCACAAAGTGCACACTATCCCCATTGTTTTCTGTCTTCATTTGGGCCTCCTGACTATTGACAAGGGTTTCATGTTGTACAGGCCCCACAGTTAAATGATGCAAAACATTGAGTCACTGGTCTGTCTATGAGTTTGTTCAGTGTGGTTGACCAAGAAGACTCGCATTTATCACCCTGAGACACTCACCTTGAATGACGTTTGTGCCCTGTAATGTAAACACGGATACGTACCCAGATCATGACAAACAGGATATTGCAGATTGAGGTTTACACACTTTATGGTATTTAACTTTCTGGGGGCAAAGAGAGGACTTCTTTTCCTGCATTGGATTCTTTTTTTCTGTCATACAAGCCAAGGGGAGAGGAGAGTACACACACACTAGACACACACACACTTACACTCAGAGTAGGCTCTCCATTCCACACACTGTCAGGAATGCCCAGACCTGCCTGGCCTTGCAAATCCTATGAGGCAAGTCGATCCCAAACTTTCCCAAACAGGCATGACATCCTCACTTCCACCGCTTAAGACTCCACTCTTTGATAAATGTGGTTTGAATCTCTCATGGGATCTAGAGGGTAGAAAAACACCTGTGCATGCACACCAAACACTCTTAAAAGCTCATGGAGTCCATGGGAACATGTAAATATTGCCCCCATAATACATCTCAGTTTTTTTTGGTTCTACTTAGTTTTTGTTGGGTTTTGTTTTGTTTGTTTTTTCATCCACCGTGACAGTTAAAATGTAGCTGTTTTAAAGTGGGACTGGCCAAAATTCTTGTGCAATATATTCCCTTTAGATTTTTTAACTTTTTAATTCCCTTATGCTTCAGGTGTTTCACTTACATTAGTACGAGCATGCAAGAGCTTCACTTTGAGAATACAAATATCTGTGATTTAGTTTTTACATGACAAATGATTCTTTTTATTGTGCAATGGTTGTGTAGGTGAAAATCTTAGAATATGAACCAAAAGCTAAAGAAAAGTTGATTCTCATAGTGCTAAACTAAAAGCAACACTTGGTACCCTGTTGCCAGAGGGATATAGACGCTGACAATGGACTGCATCATTCCTAGTCTCCGCCCGGAATCCGACTTTTTACTTCATATTAATTTGTGTCTCTCTCGCCTTTCATTTCCTATCTTACTTCACCGTCTAACCAAAATGAGATGCATAAACATGACTCAAAAATACTAACGGCACTCATTTTGCTGTAACTCATAATATTTAAATATGCTTCATATATACCTCTCAGCATGCCTATATCACTTAGAGCTGATGGTATGATGAAGTCAGACTTTTCTTTTTCCTCCTACCCAGAAAATGTATGTTTGAGAGTTTTAGCTTTGTCAGTCTGTCATTTTGAGTTGGTGGGTGAGTGGAGGATCTGGGTCATTAATTTTCTGACACTTTGCACAGGCCTTTCAGGGTAATGTAGACTAGACCCCTGTGTGTGGGCGTGGGTATGTGGGTCCGTCAGTCTAGACTGAACTGTGATGGCTTGCTGATGGGTTGACGCTGTAATACGCCTCAGAGCACCAAGTGGGGAAACTTCTGAAGGTTCAGAAGTCTTCTGAACCTAAAAATTCATACCGTAAGGGGAGATCTGCAGACATTTTCACTTGTGGTGCTCAAGCGTTGATGCAGATTAAATCTTTAAGTGATTATCAAGTATGCATTAGCATACCCTGTATCTGCTATATATGATGCCTTATCCAAAGCTAGCTTCATGAGTCTGACTAAGGTATCTGGCTGGGGGGTATGGATCTCGGATCATTCAAAATGCACCTAATACATAGAACAAATACAGCATCAAGTCATTATTAAAAAGCATTCAAAAGTCAGACTTTAAACTTGTAGCTTTTCAATCAGTGGAGCATCTTTGCTTCTCCATAATTAAAAAGCTGCTGTCGAACTTAATCTTAATGGGAGCAGCACAACCTTCTTTTTTTTTTTAGCCATGCAGGATTCTACAGTGCTACTTTGAAAAGTGAATTGTAGATATCTGTTTATGTGGCAACTTTACTCTATGCATTATTTAACCCCATTCCTGATACCTGTTCTTTCCCCCCTTGTTCATGAGCCTGTTAAAAGACAGCAGCTTGAATCGCCTCAGGCCTAAACTGTGACCTAACCCCAAAGGTCAGCAAGCTTATTCCACTGGCTACTTGATCCTGCTAGCCTTGTTTCCATCTCTCTGGATATCTGTGGCACTGTTTGCTGCCTCTGTCAAATTCTGTGCATCTGACCCTGGTCCTCTCTTTCCTTACCCTTCCTTAACAGAGGGATTGAGAGAATGAATGAGACACAGATTGGAGATCCCACATTCACCTGACAGCCTGAACTCTAGGAAAAGGAGGGAAGAGAGGAGGGAAAAGAGGGACTGATAGCAGGCGGGAGAAAGGATAAACACACTTAACAAAGGCAGAAATGTGTTCCCAGAGGCAGTTTTTTTTGTAAAGCTCTGTTTGCCCCTACCCGCAGGCATGCTCAGAATCAGCACAGCTCGGGTTACAGATAAAGGTCAGGTGTGTGTGTGTGTGTGTGTGTGTGTGTTTGAGAATGAGTAAGAGCGTGACCGTTAATGAGTAACACCGTCTAAATTGTAAGGAGGTATGTGTGTTTGTCAACGTGTGCCAGACCAGCTGTATGGCGCAGTGCCGTCTCTGGAGCAAAGCCCAGGCCTAATGTTCAATCACAGGCCTCCAAGGAGACCACTGGGATGACGCTTGGCTGCTTCATTGCCCTTCATAGAAATTGTGTTTTGTGTGTGTGTTGTGATGGAAAAAAAATACCAGTGTTTGATTTGAAAAGGTTCCCTACACCAGTGTTTTGAGAATTACTACAGCATTATTAATTGCTGGATGTCCTATGTAATACTGTGAGCTTCCAGACGCCTCTCACTCATAAACATAACACCTGCACCATTTTAGTAAAAGGTTTATGTCAGCAAATGATGCTGCAAATTAAGACATATTAGACATGAGGCATTTATAACATTTAGAGCTGTTTTTTTAAAGGAGCTTTTGCTGGGATTCAATGGTGATGTTAACTTTCCAGGCTCATTTTTTTGCATTTAGGTTCAATCTTTATTGCATTGATGCATGTTATTGCAACAAATAGTTCATTTCTGTTCTTCCTCCCAACTTCTTCCTTTGTCACATCATGCAGTTCCTGTTTGCTGCTTCCCTCTTGGTTGCTTTTATCAGATTGATGAGGAGCTTGTGTACTGGGCTTTCTCATGAGCACCTGCATGCACACAGACGCGCACTGTGGCCCGTATTGTCACAATATTACATCAGCTCTATTCTTCAGTTTGCAGTCGAGGTCAGCTGTCTAGTTAAAACCTCCATCCATGACTCTTGCATTACCGCTCTCCCATGACCGAGTATCTACAG